CAAACCTAAGGGTCCTGGATGATCCTTTGAGAAATGAGAGGACAAATTTTGGGGTACAACACTCACCATGGCAGAAGTACGAGCCCCCTCACCTGCGAGGACCACAACCATATTCGCGACCTTCATTAGATCAACCATGCTCGATGCTAGATGTTTTCTTCTACCTTCCTCATCGAGCCGCCTGATGATAGCGGACTCATCATCAGACAAAGCCATGGGAAATCCTTCAAAAAAATCCTTCTCAATAAAGCAAGGAAGAAGGTTAAAGGCCCGAGAACCTAGTCCGTCTTCACTCAAATCCACAGGCTCACTTTCAGGGCGACCCCTCTTTTTCCCCGACACGGCTGCATGGTGAACGACATCAGGAGACCCTGATGAAGCATTAGAACCATCCTTGACCTGCTCGAGAATAAGCCCAAGGCACGTAGGCTGGTTAGGCTTCAGTATCCTCTTGCTGTTCTTTTTATCCTGGGTCAACTTCAGCAAAGGTTCACGGCGCTCGGCCATATTACCTGCAAAAACAAAAATAACACGCTCAAGTTAGTATCGCTAGAAGGACATGCCCGAAAAAAAATTAAAAACAAAAGGTAGTAGAGTCACGCGGACAGAGACCCAAAATAGCTGCAACATTCATCGTAGGTACGACAATCAATGAGCGCTTTGGTGTTGATCGGTCGGGCCTCGAACGTAGGTTCACCATCTTCACCAATGACGTCGTCTCCCTCCCTCGTAACCCACCTGGAGGGGAATAAATCATCGACGAATTTGTTGAGAATACTGAAGGTCCCCCCATCCTCGGTACCCATGCTGCTAGCAGAAGTATGATAGTCGCTATACCCATGGTTGTAATGAGCCCGACAACAATGGATAGGAAACTTGGAGAGCCTTCCGATCTCTTTGTTCCCATCTCCTTCAAGAAGAGCTTCCCTATCCTCAACAATGATAGAAACTGGGTTGAACACCGCATCCACTGCCTCTTGGGATGAGTGTTACACGATATACCATTTATTCTTGAAGTCACGGACATAGTCCATGTACATCCTGGACAGTCTCTTGGATTGCTTGAAATAAACCCAACTATGCTTTCATCCCTTAGACTGTCGTTGAAGGTGGAAAACTTTGAAGAACAAAGGAATCTTCGCCCCAATCTTTAGATATCGGCAAGTGATCTCGAAAGCCCATATAAAAGCGATTGCATTGGGGTGCATTTGGGAGGGCACCGAGGACAAATGATTAAAGACGTCCATTTGAAAGTCACTAAAGGGCAGACGAAGCCCCAAACCTCTGAAGATAATCTCATGCATAGGAAAGAGATCTTCCTGAAAAGTCAAGCATATTCTGGCCATAGGGGTCGGGTGAAAGATCATGTGTACGCCTCCCTCCGAGTATTCTAAAGACCGAGGCTATTCCTCGAGGCTCTGGCCCGACCCAGGATAATGACGGATCGATGACGGTGTCGACCAAATGGAGACCCTTGTCAGCTCCACTCGTTTCCTCTATCTCGACCTGCTCAGCTATCTCAATTGGTTTAACCATTTCACCTATAAAGAAGAGGAAAGTAGTGAATTCAACAACTAAATCAAATCTACCTTTCCACCGCAACACAAGTGAAAGGGGGTTGCTACGACTAAACCATGTCGACAAATCCTTGTTTAGCAAAAGCAAACAAACTCATGAACTCCATGAGGAGAATATGAATCTCTCAAGCAAACTCATGAATTCCATGAGGAGAATATGAATCTCTCGAGCAAACTCATAAACGCCACGAGGAGAATATGAATCTCTTGAGAAACCTCGTGAAGATGACGAGAGATAGATTAATTTCCCGAGTAAACCCATGAGTGTCGCGAGGAGGGGATGAATCCCCCGAGCCATTTCATGATTTTTGTGGGGATCAGACGGTTTTTACAAGCAAATTCGTGAGTTTCGCGAGGAATGGTTAAATATCCCAAGGAAAATTCCCCCAAAAGTTGAAATTCATTAGGAAATCCATGAATCCTACGGGGAAACCCCTCCAGAAATTTCCACAAAATACAAAAACAAACAATCGTAGAAAAAACACTTACTTGGTTGACGTTGATATAGGTGCTGAGGCGGAAAGTGCGATGGTGCTCACGACATAGAGGAAGACTAACGATGGTGTAGAGAAAAGAGAGAATGAGAACTTGGAAAAGTTACAAATGAGCCCTGGGACGCTATTTATAAAAGTTACGTGGAAGACGAAGCGCCGTGTCGAGCAACGTGTTAACTATTCAATTCTCAGCCGCCCATGCGTACAGAGCCATAATGACCCCTACTTCATAGGACATCATTATACCCTAGAATCTACACTACAGGGGCCCACTATGTGATTCTCCTACACAGGTTTGACTCCTCGCGAGTCAAGGAATATACGAACATATTCTGACTTTTATCCGAACAGCTACCATACATGGACAACTTCATCTCTTGAAGAAACAAAGACCCCCAGCGAATCTATCCCCAGAGGGCTGGCGAGTTGGTCTTAAGTAATAGCTCCTCCCCTTAGGAGTAACAACTTGGGGGGCTCCTGTTCTAGACTGGGCCTGTGCCTGGCCCAAACGGTATACGAGGCTCAATCCAACCCTGTTACAGGTGAAATCCAGCAAGAATGAGGCTTCCCTTGACTATGTCGAGCAACAACCCCACCCTTGCACCGAGGACATGCCCCCTGGGACTTCCTCTCCATAGGGATGTCGAGGAGTGTTAATGGCTCCCAGGAGGTCTTGACGGACACCTCCCTCGTAGGTCAGACGCCCATGTCTCTGAGTATCCCAGAGTCATCTTAACCCCAAAAAGACCGCATTCACGTCCTCCTGATAATTTGGAAGAGTCCATTCAGGTTGGAGACCACGTGCTGGCCTCCACTACACACGTAGGACTTGATAGTCTCCATTTTGGGTCTGCTTGGCTGCCTAATATGGGGACTTTGACCTAGTGCTAGGGGCTATAAGTACCCTCTCACTTGAGAGGGTTAGGTATTCATTCATCTATACTCTCACACTTTACTTGCACTTACTATGAACCTTACTTTGGCATTGAAGTGTCTTGCAGATATCCCTCACTTCACATTCAACCATTGTTTAACTTGAAACTCGTGGGCCTTGACAATCTCTTCTGATCAAGTACGATCAGTTATATATTTTATATTAATTAATTAATTATTTGATTTTTGTGAGCAATTGGTTCTATTTAAATTATTTGATAGGTGTGATATGTGATGGGTTAATCGGGTTAAGTATGTCGAACTGTAGAATTATAATTAGTAATAATGTCGGTTTATGATGAAATTATTTTATTAAGTGAGAATTATAGAAAATAGTAGAATAATTAGTAATTGGGTCTAATATGTGGGAGTGTGAAGAGTAATTGAGCCTAATAGTTGTTAGGTTAGTGTTATTTTGTTAAGAGCACAAGAGGAAAAGAAACCTAGGTTAGTAAAGGAAAAAGAGAAAAGAGACTAACCTAGAGAAAAGGAAAAGGGAGAAAGAGGAGATGTACACTTAAGGAGGAGTTCAACAGTTCAACAAGAAATTAAGTAAGGGTAGATTTTTACATTGTTATGAGAATTGTATGATGATGTATGATGGATAGATTCATGGTTAGGATGAAATCCCAAATTTTTTATGGTTTTGAAATTGTTAGGTTTTAATGAGAAATCCTTGAATATGATGATTAATGGTGTTGTGATGTTTCTATTTGAAAATACATGTAAGATACATGTTATAATATCTTAAAACGTAGTAATTTGGATATTAAAATGCATTTGAAGTGAAATTCTTGTAAGAAAATCACAAGAAAATACAGAATTTTTTATAAAACTTCAAAATTTTATAACTTTTAAACCATAATGTCGTTTAATTCATTGTTTATATTTTAGATATCTTTTCTTAAAATTATTCAAAAATTTACTCTCTAAACTAAACACTTGAAAATACTAGAAACTCTAAAATTCAAATAAATATTTTTGAGTATTGAAAAAAAACTTTTAAAACATGTTAAGAATCAAATTAGAAATTCACTAATTTTTTTACAATGTGACCTTAATGCAAACTTACCACTAATAATTTTCATGTTAAGTTGTTGAAAATTTATTTAAAAATCGTTTTCGGTCATTAATTTTAAAAAGATGACTTTAATTTTTAAACAAACAAAAAGACTCGTTGAGTTCAATTCCTTCATTGAGTGGTTGTTTGGTGCACAATACAGTAACTTCACTTTTCTGCTTTTCTTCTTCTTCTTCTTTTTCTTCTTCCTTTTTCCTTTTCTTTTACTTCTCAAATACACGTTCCTTTTTTTATGCTTCTTCTTCAACCAGGCATGAACAAATGAAACACCATTTCTCATTCTTCACTCGCATTGCCATTTCTCTCCTCTGATCAGGTATGTTCTTTTTCTTTTCCTTCTTTCTTCAATCACTGTTTTCCTTCTAAAGATTCAAACTTTTTTCATTGGGGTGTTTCTGTTTAATGCATTTCGCATCAAAAACTTGTAAACTGTTGATGGGTTTTGATTATTCTTCATAAACGATCATGGGTTCTTGGAAAAACTTGTAAAAACCAAAATTTTACAATGTAGGTGAAGCCTTGTGAATGAAGTTTCTTGATATTTGGTTTTTCTTTTGTGCAATTGGAAGTATCTGAATTGGGAGTTTTTTTTTTTTTTTTCTATTTAGGGTTTTCTAAATGCATCACATTTTCAATTGATGATTTTGTCTGAAATTGTTCTCTTGAATATGATTGATTTCTCATGTTTTCTACATATGGTGTTTTTAACAATACATTTTATAGTGCAATAGGAGATTAAGATTCTGTTGTTTCATAGCTTTTTGAATGATTGTTACATATTGTTAATTTTCTGTGTTGAATTGAATTTTTAGGTGTGTCAGAAGAGATTGTGATTATGTAATTTTAGAACTTGTTGAATGATTATTAGATATTGGTAATTGATTATGTTGAGTTGAATGTTTAGGTATATCCATCATGGATTCACGTAACAACGCTGTTGATTCTGTATCAGAGGTTCAGAATTCGGTTTCTAGGGTACCTGCGGTACCGGTACGCCACAGTCTTCCTTTAACATCAGGGATTCCGCGTCCTTCGCGGCCTCCCTTATACAGAAATAATCATGGAGCTTCTTCTTCTTCCGCATCCTTTTTGGAACATCGGCATTGTCGAAATAATTATGGAACGAAGAATATTCACCATCAAAATTGTTATGCAGTTAATCGAAAGCATTCATATCAAGATAGAAAATTATGCAGCAAGCAACTGTTTGATGATGGTTCCAAGAATTGTGAGTCGTGTTCTGTAGTATTAGAATCCGACAATTGTATCTTAGTTACATCGAAACGAGATGTTGGTAATCAACCGAAAAATTGCCATTGTCAGTCAGAGATTAGTTTTTCTCATAGTCCTCAAAATAGTTTACATTCGACCACCTATTCGGAAGCGAAACAAAGTTTCACCAATACTGAAGTCAGTGAGTGTGTTAGTGTTGATGATAATGAGTCCTGCGAAAGCGGAGAAGTTTCGAATTCGTGTGATTTTATTGAAAGTACGAAAACCAGCATCTATAGAGCGAGTACAGTAAGTGATGTTAGCGACGAAAGCAGCACGAGTAGTTTGAGTAGTGCTGTGTATAAACCTCATAAGGCGAATGATATAAGATGGGAAGCGATTCAAGCTGTGCGAGCAAGCGTCGGGGTGTTGGAAATGAGGCATTTTAGGTTGATGAAGAAATTGGGATGTGGAGATATAGGAAATGTATATCTAGCTGAACTGAGTGGCACAGGGACTTGTTTTGCTATGAAACTCATGAATAAAACCAAGCTCGCAAGTCGGAAGAAGCTTGTAAGAGCTCAAACGGAGAGAGAGATATTGCAGTCTTTAGATCACCCTTTTTTACCAACATTATATACGCATTTCGAGACTGAGAGAATCTCTTGCTTGGTAATGGAGTTTTGTCCTGGTGGCGACCTTTATTCAATCAGGCAAAGACAGCCTGGGAAGTATTTCTCGGAGCATGCTGTCAGGTTAGCATTTCCTTCCCTTTTTGGCTTATTACATACAAAAGAACTTATATTTTAATCACTTATGCAATAATATAAGCACTTAATTAAAGCTTATTTTGTGTTTGTAGGTTTTATGTGGCAGAAGTTCTCCTTGCTTTGGAGTACTTACACATGCTTGGAATCATCTATAGAGACCTTAAACCTGAGAATGTATTGGTTAGAGAAGACGGTCATATAATGCTTTCGGATTTCGATCTCTCTTTAAGGTGTACCGTCAGTCCAACTCTCGTGAACTTGTCAAACCCGATCGTTGAAACGAAAAGATCAGGATACTGCATTCAGCCAAGATGTGCAATGCAGCCAGACTGCATCCAACCTGCATGCTTTTCGCCGCGGTTTCTATCCAGTAAATCCAGGAAAGAGAGAAAATTCAGGCCAAAGAATGACATGCATCACCAGGTGACACCTCTCCCTGAGCTAATGGCTGAACCAACAAGTGCACGATCGATGTCCTTTGTAGGCACGCACGAGTACTTGGCACCTGAAATTATTAAAGGCGAAGGACACGGAAGTGCTGTGGATTGGTGGACGTTTGGTATATTCTTATACGAACTCTTGTTTGGTCGAACACCGTTCAAAGGCTCTGCAAACCGAGCGACGCTGTTCAATGTAGTCGGGCAGCCTTTAAGGTTTCCAGAATCTCCTACTGTCAGCTTTGCAGCAAGGGATTTGATCAGAGGCTTGCTGGTGAAAGAGCCTCAACACCGTCTTGCCTATAGACGTGGAGCAACCGAAATCAAACAGCATCCGTTTTTTCATAATGTGAACTGGGCGCTGATCCGTTGTGCTAATCCGCCCGAGGTACCGAGAGACACCATGATGATGAAACCAAGTTCAACTGAAAATGAAGTTGGTATGAACCCTTCTAGTAATTATTTAGATGTTGATTTCTTTTGATCATGATTCTTTCATTTGCTGCATAAAAGAATGCAATGCTTTTCTTCAACTACATAATGAACTGTTGTAAGAATCTCCAAACTCCTTAATTTGAGGAACAAAGGGTATACTAAAACTGATATTATCAGGTTGGACGTTATTATTATCTAAATTTGATTCTTAGACTTCACATATATGTGTGAATTTTTAGCAATTATTATTATTTTGACCCATCTTTGCAATAGTCTAATATAATTTTCTAAATAGTCAAACATTTAGAATTGAAGAACTGTCACGATAATAACTTTCTAGATGCCTACGTCAAAATGATTCTCTAGTGAGTTACATTTTATTTAATTAATTCGTAAATTTATATTGAATCAATAAACAAACAGAAATACTATATATTATAAAATGAGAATAATAATAATGTTGACCGACAAGTTTAGCGTGAGACCTTGAAAATTCGTTGGGTTCGCGCCCGTATCTTCAATTGCATTCTTCACCCCCACGCGCACCTTATTCATCATCGCGCGTCCTCAAATTTAAACACGTCTTTCCTTTAAATAACAATTTGATTGATTGTGGACAAGTTATACATTCCATACTTAAATTAAGTTAAACTCAAATTAGAATGATCACCGATAAAGTGCCGACACTCTTCAATAACAAGATATTTATTGACAAATAATTGAAAAATATTTACTGTATATTTAGTTTGATTTTTGGAATCACTAAGAATAATTTTGAGATATTTGATTAGAAAAGTATAATTGATTCTATATTTAAAATTGATTGGGTGATGTTAGAGTTTGAATTTTTACACTAAAATTTATTGTTCAATTTACTTTTACATAAATATATTTAAAAGTAAATCAATTATGCTAAATTTAATTTTAATAAAATTTTATTAAACTTAATTATATTTGAATTAATTATGTCTACGCTCAATTCAAATACACTTTTAATATGTTTAAGTTTTTCTAATATAAAAATAATTAAAAGTGTTTGTTGTAAATTTAAGAGTTATATTTCTGAAAATAAATTGTTAGTAACTTGGACAACAGAAGCAACAGAATTCTAACTGTATTCTAACAGAAAATGATAAGGCAAGGAAAGAGTAAAGTTATCACTGTTGCATTGAATGAAAATAATTAAACCTGTACAAGTGGCCATTATATAATGTATGCATAAGCCTAGATTAAATAACAGCCATTGGATCAAGATAATAACAAAATAGAAAACTTAATGATCTATTCTATTATCTAATATAAGCTAAGAGGCCCCCTCAAGTTGGACTATGGATACTGCATAGACCCAACTTGGACAAAATGGAGGTCAAAGCTGGAGAATGTAATGGCTTAGTAAACATGTCTGCGAGCTGATCCACTGTAGAAATAGGCAAAAGGTGCAAGAGCTTGGACTGAATCTTCTCACGTATAACATGGCAGTCAAGTTCTATGTGTTTACTACGCTCATAAAATGCAGGATTGTGAGCCAAGTAGATAGCGGACTTACTGTCACAATAGACTGAGGCAGGCTGAGACAAAGTGATGGTGAGATCTTTGAACAAATACTGAAGCCACTGAAGCTCACAAGTCAAGGATGCTAGGGCACGGTACTCTGCTTCAGTTGAAGAACGTGACACTGTGTTCTGTTTCTTGGATTTCCAACAAATGAGAGAAGTACCTAGAAGAACACAAAAACCAGTTGTTGACCTGCGCGTATTTGGACATCGTGCCCAGTCAGAATCAGCAAAACCATACACTTTAAAAGCACTATTAGAAGAGAACAAAATGCCTTTGGTAGGAAAACTCTTCAAATATCTCAGAACCTTAATGACAGCCTGATGATGTGGAAGTAAGGGATGAGACACAAACTGACTTAACTGTTGAACAGCATAAGAAATATCTGGCCGGGTATTAGTAAGGTAAATCAATTTACCAATCAATTGTCTATAGGAAGAAGGATCCTGCAAAGGTTCACCAGTAGAAACAGAAAGTTTCAAGTTAGGATCATAAGGTACAGAAGATGGTTTGCAAGCAAGTAAACATGTCTCCTCTAAAAGCTCAAGAGCATACTTTCTTTGATTCAAAAAAATACCCTTAGAGGACCTTGCAATTTCAAAACCTAAAAAGAACCTCAATTGACCAAGATCCTTGATCTTGAATTCTTTGTCAAGAACATGTTTAACAAACTGAATTTTCTGTAGAGAGTTCCCAGCTAGGACTATGTCATCAACATAGACAAGTAAAGCAGTGAAACTGTGCTCAGTAGACTTGGTATACAAAGAATGATCTGCTTGTGATTGAGAGTACCCCAAGGAAAGAAGAAACACAGAAAGCCTAGAGTACCATTGTCTACTAGCCTGCTTTAAACCATACAATGACTTTTGTAGCTTGCAAACCTGAGTAGAACTGGAAACAAAGAGACCAGGTGGAACTGACATATATACCTCCTCATTCAAGTCACCATGCAAGAATGCATTGTTTACATCCAATTGTTCCAAGTGCCAACCCTTAATGGCAGCAATGGATAACAATACTCTAACAGTGGTGATCTTAGCAACTGGAGAAAATGTGTCAAAATAGTCAACTCCTTCAAGTTGAGTATATCCCTTGGCAACAAGCCTAGCCTTATACCTCTCTATAGACCCATCAGCTTTGTATTTTATTCTGTAAACCCATCTACAACCAATGGGAACCTTTCCATGAGGCAAATCTATTACAGTCCAAGTGTGATTCTTAGCAAGAGCCTTCAACTCATCATCCATGGCATTCTTCCAACAGTCCCGCTTAATTGCTTGAGCATATGTTTTGGGTTTAATATTGGTAGAAATAGAAAAACAATAGTTTTTGTAAGCAGGAGAACAATGTTTATAAGAGAGAATAGAAGAAAGAGGATATGTAATTTTAGAGGAAGAAGGACTAGAATGAGATGTAAGAGTGGAATAACAGTGATAATCAGATAAGTAGCTAGGGGGATTGGAAGTTCTGCTGGACTGCCTTATCGGAGGAATAGGAGTAGGGAAGTCTATGGACTGATTAGACAACTCAGGAGAAGAGACATGAGGATTCTGATTTTGGTCAGAAGGCACAGGAAAAGATGTGGCACTAGAAGGACTAGATGTACTAGAAGGACTAGATGTACTAGAAGGACTGTGAGGGGATGTAACAGCAGAGGGACTAAAAGATAAAGGAGATCTAGGATTATAGGGAGATTGAGGAGTACCACTGCTGTCAGGAGAAGTACTAGGAACAGATGGTGAAGTCAAATCAGTGCTGCTATGGTCAATAGCATTGTTAAATGGTGATGGCATGTCAAGAAAGTCATTGATGACAGAAGAAGGAATAGAGGAAGGAGAGGATGACACAGAAGAAAGTTTGAATGGAAAGACATCTTCATAAAAGATGACATTTCTAGACACATAAATAGCATGACTATGAAGATTGTAAACTATGTACCCCTTGGTACCATCCCTAAAACCAAGAAAGATAGCTTTGTGAGCCCTAGGATCAAATTTGGTCCTATGTGCTTGCAAAGTAGAAACAAAACATAGACAGCCAAACACCTGTAAGTGTATGATGGAAGGTGGTTGTTTAAACAAAATTTCATAGGGAGATTTTGATTTTAAAAGGGTGTGGGTAGTCTATTTATAAGGTGAACAGCATGTTGTACACAGAAGTTCCAGAGAGATAAGGGGACATTGGAATGAAAATATAAGGCTCTAGCAACATTTAGAATATGTTGCTGTTTTCTCTCAACTACACCATTCTGTTGAGGAGTCTCAACACAAGATTTTTGATGAACAATTCCCTTAGATAAAAGAAAATCAGCAATGGTAAGGAATTTTGTACCATTGTCAGACCTAAGGCACTTAAGAGATGTTTTAAACTGAGTTTCAATGAGAGCTACAAATTGAATGAGGCTAGCCCTAGTTTGATCTTTAGTGTTGAGGAAAATGACCCATGTAAACCTTGTATAATCATCTACTAATGTTAAAAAATATTTGTGACCAAGAGTAGATACAGTGGAGAATGGCCCCCATAAATCAGCATGCAAAATATCAAAAGGAGCACATGAAACAGAAGTACTAATAGGAAAATAAAGCTTCTTTTGCTTTGCAAAGTGACATGAGTCACAAGGATCCAATTTGGAATTACAATTAATGAAAGGAAAAACTTTAGAAATTTCCTATAATCCTAAGTAAGGCACATGGCCTAATCTTAAGTGCCATGTATTACAAGAAGTATTATTGACAACAGAAAAAACAGAATTAGGTCTTGTAAGCTCAAGAGTATAGAATCCCCTTTGCACATTAGCTATACCAATCATTGCCTTGGAATGATTCTGCATAATGTGACAAGAATTAGCATGGAATTGAACAAAGCAATTATTGCTATCAACAAGCTTGGCAATAGAGACAAGATTAACATGAAAACTAGGGATAAACAAGACATGATGCAGAGTTAGGGAGGGAGAAAGAACAACAGTACCAACTATGGAAGCAACTACTTGAGAGCCATTAGGTAAATTTACAGGAATAGGGACAATATTTTTATGATCAAGAAATAGGCTAATGTCAAAGCAAATATGGTCAGTAGCACCAGTATCAAGGATCCAAATGTTAGGATTCTTACCATTAGAGCCTGACTGAAAATTCAAGGCAAGAGGAGAAGTTGAGATGGAATTGGCATGGGAATTAAGCTGTGACTGTTGTAATAGGGCCATGATGTGAGTGTATTGCTCTTGAGTAAGGGCACAAGAGGATGCAGGGGAAGAACCTGTAGATTGGTTCTCAGAGGCAGTATTGGCCATGGCAGTTGGCTGAGAAGTATTAGAAGAACCTGGAACCTTGCTTCTGCCTCTATATCCAGGGGGAAATCCATGCTTTAGAAAACAAGTTTCTATGGTATGGTTGGTCCTATTACAGTGAGTACAAACCCTAGCATGACCTTTAGGACCAGTCCCTTGAGATTTCCATTTAAAGTTACCATAGCCAGGTTTACTATTGTGATTAC